GTTTTCATTTGTGCACAGCACACATGCAATTTTGGTTCTCTAAAGCAGCCACTACCTTCATATGCAAACAGCATGGGTGAAATTATCATGGCGTTTTTTACTCAGTGTTTGCCAACTGTCCCCTTTCCAGAGCTCCAGGTGAAGTCCGTGAGCAAAAACAATGCTGTATGAATAATCACTGCCTGTGAGTACCAGGTAGTTAAAGGTAATTAAAATTTTCATTTTCAAAAGGGACTAAGTGACTTAGGGTTCATTTCCTCTGGACAGTTATGGGAATAGCTAATTAACAATAATTAACCTGACATGCTTGCATCAAAACCTCCTCGAAGCCACCCTCACTCCAGAATAAAACCTCATTTTTCTGAACGAGCTTAATCCAATTGGGAAGAGCCCATTTTCAGCACAGCTTCAGTCCAGCTGCAACTCCACAGGCTTTCCATGAGGCCCTGACCCTTTCAAAATAAGCTTGCAGCTGCTAGTTCATTTACGTTTCTGAAATTTCTACCCAAGGTAAAACAATCTGCAAAGAGGGATAGGCTGCAATTACGCACTGGATCGTACAACTGAAAATAAGCTGGTCTACAAAACTCTTGTCTTCAAAGAGTCTGAGAGGCATTAGTTCACTAACTTCACCAACTATAAACACTACTCTTACGTATGAAGAAGTTGAGACAGACAGCTGAAGGGATTTCCCTGATGTGTTATTAAGAGTTAATATCTCTACAGAGAATAGGGCTAAGGAGATTTTGGCTTCCAATTATACCCGCATTCAAGCAAGTATAAATATGTCTGGAGGGCTATGGGAAGTAGCATACTCCACTCCTCCACTCTCCACCACTATCACCACCACCATCTTCTATTACTGTAGTCAAGGCTGGCATGTACTCCATGGTGCAGTGACCATTTGACCAGCTGGGAAGTCCCCTTCACCCCCCCCACCCCTCCCTCTCACCCCACAGCTCAGCTCTGTCTGCCCCCCATGCACACATATGGCTAAATGCTCCAAAGAGAGCTCCGAATAAAGGGTCGGGAAAAAGAAGGTGATCTTCAGAAATGCAGAAATACTTTGAAGCATTTCTAAATCAACACTAAATATTGGAAGAAAGAAAATTTCCAAACAGAAGTCCTAGATAAATATGCTGGTCTGGAATGTTTTCTCCACTAGAAAAGCCTCCCTGTGATCTGAAAAAACATTCATTTTTAATCAGAAGATGAAATATGGTTCCCATGTCTGTAAAAATTACTTCACAGCAAGTTACTGTGCTTATTACAACCCTGTAAAGATTAGCCCAAACCATAAAACTCTTTCTGATTCCATATATCTCCTTGGATTACTGTTGATCTCACTAACGTCACAGGCATCTCATCTGTGTTTTCTTCACCTTTTCGTTGCTGTCTCCTACTCCTTCACATTTCCGTGAACTTTCCCTATTTTCTTACACCAAAGAGGATCCAAGTGCCTTTGACTACAGGCTTTCCCACAGCACAACTCAAGTCTGTATCAACTCCTGATTAGGCAGTCTATGCTAGCTCAGTTAGAATGAAAACCTCACGATGGATTTTATTTGCCCTTAGAGCCCCCCCGCCCCCCCCCTCTTGCAAGCTCAAGATTAAAAACCCTGGGTTTCTCAGTCCAATTGGTTTAGTCAGCATTCAGCGCTCATTTTTTGCCTGCAGCAGAAAAGGGGGAGAAAAAAGGAATTGAAGACAATGCTAGTGAAAAAAAATCGAAGCTATTTTAATCCAATGCAAATTCTGTGAGCTGTAACGAAACGGTATTGTTCCACTATGTTGCTGTTGGTTGCTAGTTGACGTGCACTGCCGGTGTGTTGCTCTACAGATCTTTTGGGGTTCATGGGAAAGCAAGCTCAGAAAAAGCCGTGATACAAAGTCTAATTTGCATATTAGCAGACAGCAGCTCGGCACCGATTCCCCTTTGATCTAACAGCATTGAGAAGTTTTACAGCGTTTTAGTTTGGAAGTGAAGAGAAGTTATCAGGGAGGAAGAGACCTTCCGTGTTAGCACTGAGTGCTACGTGCCCCCCTGCACACCGAACCCTGCAACTAGGCTCCTGCAGTTTGCCCTCCCTTAGTGTCAGAACGCAGGAGGCATCCACTGGTAGAAACGGTCTGAGGGCTGAGACCAGTCTGAACAGAGCAGAGGTGGCGGAGGGGACATCGCTGGGCAGCCAGACTGCAGCCACACACAAACCAACTGCAGAAGGGGAGCTGCGCATCCTCCCCGCGAAACGCCTGTGGTGACAGAGCTGCTACCTTGCAGAAGACCCCAACAGCAAAACTCCAGCCTGGCAGCGCTTCAGCACGGTCCCTGGCAGGGCCGAGACAGCATCCTCCCTCCACCTCAAAGGGCTGATTGTCAGCACAGGATCCGCAGTCTCGCGTGGGGCAGGGCCTGCCGTGGAGCTGTGCTTTAACTCTTCCCACATCGGTTTTGATGAACTTGGTTCAAAGCCTCTTTCAAAAGCAGATACACACACGCCACACCCAGGCACAGCTGCTAACATTAGGCAAGAAACCAGCAGACATTTAAATATAGAACAGCCAGGCTGGGTGAGAGGGAAGAGCTCTGCTGGTGCATCTCGACTTCCTTGATCAGCAAGCTCTTATGCTCGATTTTGCACAGAATGAAACAGCACAGGCAATCCTTTCGTTTGGAAGAACAAATATTCCCATAAACCAAAGTATGGTGTGCTAGTCCTCCATCAGGGTGTTTTAATTTTGCAAGGGAAAAATAAAAAAAAACCTGTCACAGACCAAGATTTTCAAAACGCACCCGAGATGTACGGTGAGTCAAAGTTTAGATGACCACTTTGCAAGACGGAGGTTACGGTCTCTCCAAGAGAGCTGAACACCGACTCCCTCAAGACCAGACCATGTTACACATGCCAAGATGGGCATGCACCCGTGATAGGCAGAAGCTACAATGGATAACTTCTTAATACAACTAATCCAACATCATTTAAGCCCTGGCTCTCCTGAGGACAAGCTCCAGTTTTACAGCCTGTAGAATATCTGAGTTTCTTAAAACCAAGAGAGGATGCAAGCCTTTTGTGCCTGAGAGAAGAATTACCCTCACTCTTTCTTCCACTCAGGAGAAAGCCTTGCACTATTAAATATGAAATAAAGGGCCTTCCCTTTGCCCATGCAGTGCAGCTGGCTTGTAATCTGCACCACTTGCCATAGCTTTAGGCAGCTGTTAGCATAAGCACGCAATGCCCGCTTGACTTGCCACCGCAGGTGGCACTGGCCCGCCACTGCACGACAGCAGCAGCCTTGCCGCGCTCCCCAGGCGTTTCGGAGGCACGTGCCACCAAACGGCAGGGATGGCACAGCGATCCCTGCACAGGGAAAAGGCAACCCACAGCAGGAAAGCACGGCGAGGCCTGAGTTCAAGCAAAGCAGCAACAGGGTGACTCGCAGACACCTATTCCAGGAACAGGCGATGGGATAGTTGTCTAATCATCTGGATGAAACGTGCAGAAGTTTAGCTTACTGATAAGGAACCACTTCTGTGGTATACCTGTCCTGTCCGAATTAAAAATATTAAACTCTTGCTCCAGCTCACTTAGGAAAATGCTCTGATTTGAATATCAGCAGCCCCCAAGCCTGGAGTTCTCCCCCTCCCAGCAAGCCTCGTGCCTGACCTGTTCTCCATTTGCATCTGCCTCCACAGCTCCCTCCCTGCAAGCACGACCTGGAAACACTAATCCCTGCCAACAAAAGCTGTCAGCACACCATCACAAAAAGGCTTGGGGGACTGTATTTTGTCACCTTGGTTCACACCAAGAAGTATCTTACTCCCTGCTGCTTCCCATGGGGCTACTGGCCAAGTGAAGTCCCAACTGGCACAAGCCAAGGTGGCCCAATCTAACCCTTAATTATCACCACCGTCCAGACCTCAGGTGCAACTCCAGGTCATACATATAGAACAGTATTTGAGTAGAAACTCAGTCTCTTTTGTGACCTATACAGTTTCACTGCTTGGTGTGCTGCTGGCATTCAACAACTAATTCATAATGCAGACATGAAACCACAAATCAAGTGGTGAGAGAGACAGAAGATGCGATATTTTAGATTTTTTTTTTTTTCTCAAAACTTAAATACCTTTAACAAATGTGTCTATAGTTCACTGGTATTTATCTTCCTACAGCTGTACTGCCATACAATTATAAAACATTACGGCTGACGCTTTCCAAGTTGTGACCCAGGAGATGACATTTCATTTTCAAAAAGGACATAAGAATATAATCCCTGCCAATGTAAATTCATCTTTAAGAGTGTCACCAAAATGCTTATTAGGATGTTTTCTGAGTATCTGTGCTAAATGATACATTCACAACAAAATGTTTGCATGTTTTTTTTTTGTCAAACAGTAATAAAATTCAAATGTCTAAACACAATAAAGGAAACAATCAGGGCTTATTTTTTCCTGTCCAAAGTGCGCGTGCTTGCATGCGCACATACACACAGCACAGACGTACTTGTACTAACGTGAGTAAATTGAGTAGACTTTGTCATATCCGTATCAATAACCAGCAACATATATAGTTATGCAGATAAAAATAATGTACTTTAATAGTTGTGTATACGTAAATTTTTTTTAAACTAAAATAAATCGACATTGAATGAGAATATATAGACAGACACAGACATATTTGTAGCTGGTCCCTGTGAAATAAGTCCTTGTCCGTCACAAGGAAGAGCCAGCTGAGCCATCTGCAGGAAAGGCTCTCTGCTGTCAGCCTTCAGAGAAAGGTTAACAGCAACGGGAAAAAAAAACCTGCTCCTGTCTTTTACTTGAACGCCAACTCCGGTACGTGTACCACGCTAACGCAGAAGCCCGACGTACCGCAACCTTGCCGAGCTGGGAGCAAGGCAGCCCAGCCTGCGAGCCGACGGAGCGTCTCCCCGCACGGTAATCACGGCCGCGGGAGCACGGGGAGGCTGCGGGGGAGCCGGCACAGCGTGCGAGACCTTACCTGTTCCAGGTAGCGTTGGAGCAGGCCCGTCGCTGCTGGGTCCCCCGCTCATCCAAGGCTGCCTGCTCTCTCTTGCCCAGATCACTGAGGCTGGGCGAACTCATGAACTTCAACCTGCGAAGAGTCCTCATGGTCAAATGTGTGTTTGCGCGTGGCAGCTACAGATACACCATCCTGTTTACACACACACACACGCAGCTGGAGCAGCGGCAGCAG